GTTTTAGGAAGAGCCATTAGAGCTAGTTTTGATTTCTTCATCAAACATAGAATGCATTGTGTGCTTCTATTCCATCCAATGACATGAAGTTATCCTAGGGAAAATCCATCTTTCCTTTGGAGGGATGTGTGGTATGCCCATAGTTGAGTAGAACTTTGAGGATACCTTTCCATTTTAATGTTGGTACTTGATGATTTCCTTTGGTTTTCATTAGGTTTTCAACATTACAACCTTGATCTTGGTGATTGTCCCTCTGCTTGGAGTGTGTTTGCTAGAGCTTGAAGATGAAGTTTGATGAAGCTTGAGATAGAAGCTAGCTTGAAGATGAAGCCTTGCTGTCAACTTTGCTGTCATTTCAACTGTGCTGTTTAGAGCTTGCTGATGCTGTCTGCTGTAAGAGTTTGTTGCTGCTGCTTGGGCTGTTTTCTCTGTATCTTTTGTTTTTCTCTGTATTGTCTGTTTGCTTGTGTTGATTACCTCCAGGTTTGAGGAGGAGCTTGTCTCCTCTTTCCTATTGTTTTCTCCCTTGCCTCACTGGTACTGTTGCATAACATGCATTTTACTGTTTGCTTCTTTTGCTGTTTCCCCTAGGATCTCTGATTTCCTCTGTGCAAGAGGGAATTATGACAGACATTAGGTTTTGACCCATGCATGATAACTGTATGTAGATTCCCTTTTCAACCATAGTTTTAGGGTGTCTTTCTTTTCTCATCTCAAAACAATTCAAAAACACAGTAATAAGGTTAATTGAAGTCGTACGTTACGAGCCTTAAGCTATCTGGGAAAAGGTTGGTGGAGGGTCTCTCTCCAGTAATCTGGATGTTAGTGTGGTACCCTTTGGGTGACATACGAAGCGTTCACTCCTGGGTCATAGTCTCTAGTGCGACTGAGATTGCAAACATCCTAAAAAACAGTTCTTTTCGTAAAAAATTCAAACAAACATTCAAACTCTGTTTTTGTCCTCTTGGACCCTTAATCAGGAAACCCCTTTCTAAAGGAGATAAAAAAAACTGTCAAACAAACTTGTGTATTCCGTAGCCCGAACTACGTTTGCTCTGATCTTTCATGCCGTATGAAAGTACGTATGCACGAGATGCGACATCTCGGCGAGCAACCTTCCCCCATAACCTGTAGTTAGGCGAACTACGTTGACTCTGATTTCTCGTTCTAGACGGGAATATGTAGGCATAAAGTGCGATACTTTGCCGAGTCATTTTATTTTCTTTTTAACCCAGACATGTAGAGTAGATAGAATAACATACCCTTAGATAGAAAACAAGCGTGGATCCCGTCGAGCACGACGGACGTGAGGGGTGCTAATACCTTCCCCTTGCGTAACCGACTCCCGAATCTAGGATTTGGTTGCGATGACCATTCCTTTCCCTCTTTGCGTTAGGTTTACTCTGAGTGTTTCCTTTCCCTCTTGTGGGATAAATAACGCACGGTGGCGACTCTTCTGTCATAGCCGGCGCCGGTTTTCGCAGTAGCGACAGTGTCAAAAGACACATCCTTTATGACCTTCTCCATCACTAAACCATATAATAACAACACAATTATACCCATGTATGATTCCACCCTTGATAAATATTTAGATTGTCTTGACAACAACAACATTAATTCCATATCACCTTCTCCCATCAATGTCAATCATAACACAACCAATAACACTCCTATCCCAATTCACATAATACCAGTAACATCCAAGGTCCTCCACCCCTAAGAAAATCCATTAGATTTCCCAAACCTTCTTAATATCTCAAGGATTTTCATTGTGTTATTATCCAAGGTACCCCTATTCCTCTACTAACACACGTACTATCTATTATCCCTCATTCGATTACATTTTTTTACACGAACGTATCTCATGATCATAAATTTTTTACATTACATTTATCAACGATTTTTGAACCTACTACTTACTTTTATGACATAATTGATCCCAATTAAAGACAAGCCATTAACAATGAGATTAAGTCTCTCATTGTTACCAACACTTGAAATTTTACTACACTTATAATTAATAAGAAAGCCCTAAACTGCAAATGGATTTTCAATTCACAATTCTTAGCCATTGGTGCCATATATCAATATAAAGCTCGACATGTTGCTAAAGGTTTCAAATAAACTGAAGGCTTAATCTATCATGAAACATTTATTCTTGTTATCAAAGTTACTACCATTAGAGGTTTTCTCTCTATTGCTTCATCTCAAATCTAGTTTATACACTATCTTAATATTTATACAACTTTTTTACATGACAATTAGAATGAAGAGGTATATATGAATTTCAACCTGGGCTAAATGTGTCTATTAAAATTTTGTTTGTAAACGTGAGATGTTGGATCAAACTCTAATATGGTCGAAGGGTAGCTTCTGGTTCGACAGAAATTAAGCATGAGGTCGAAGTGTGTTTGCATACTGCTGCCGAAGATAATGCGTGTTGCAGTCGAAGTTTGTTCTAACATGCATTAGTCAATATTTCTAGGTTGTTAGCATATTGGATTGGGCCTTGCTTGTAAGCCCAAATGTTTAAGTTAGCTTGTACCCTAAGTTAGCTAGTAATGGGTAATTGTTAAAAAGCCCATTAGGTTAGTGTGCTATTTTTCTTAAAAATAGGATGTTAGTTTCTCAATCTTGGCATAAGGAAAAATAGGAAGATAAAATCCTAATTTCAAGAGAGAGAGGTTATTTTGTTATTCTCGTATACTTGTAATTTTGTTCTAAGAGAAAGGAAAGAATAACTGTTTATAACCAATCCTTGTTATTCCTTGTTGTGTTACTTTGTTTTCTTTGTTAACCCTAACCCTGTTGTGTTTCTTGATCATAAAGAAACTATTTATACTTTGTTTCAAGACATCCGATTCACAACAGTAAGTTTATCAGATTTATCTATTTCTTAAAGCAAGTCTGTCGACAATAGAACCATAAGTTAACATTATCCCTGACTATTCTTTGTTCGCCAAGAAATATAACTCCTATTTTATTGTTATACTTTTATATGTTGATGATTTACTCATGGTAGGAAATAACTTGTCTGCAACTACTCACATCAAGCATGAATTGGATAAGCAATTTATAAATAAAGATTGTAACACTTAAACATTTCTTTGGATTTGAAATAAAAAATTGTTTGGCGATCATGTTCAGAAGCTAAATACAGAGCCCTATCACACACATCTTATGAAGCTCAAGAATTTCTATACTTATTTCCAGAGTTCTTACTCCCTCGCCAACAACTTGTTTCCATTTTATGTGATAATCAAAGTGTCATTAGCATTGCCACCAACTTTGTTTTTCATGAAAGAACCAAACAAATTGAAATGGATTGTCATCTAGTTCATGACAAAGTTCAAGATTACACCGTCCTTTTCATGCTAATAGACACTACAAATCAAGATGTAGATGTCTTCACTAAATCGATATATCTTGATCCTTTTTATTCTCTTGTTTCCAAACTTGAACATATTGATATTCACTCTATAGACGTTTTTAATTCAAACTAACCGATTTAAGAAAGTCATTTTTAACCGATTAAAAAAGTTTTTTTCCGTAAGGCTAACTTGAAGGAGAGTGTTAAAATCTAATTAAGTTTGTTTATATTTTGTTAATTAATTAGAGAATAATAAAGAATTTATCATAAGATTAATTAGAGTTTAATTCCAACTCTACCCAATAGTTGAGTTGCTTTTAGGGAAGTAAATGGATATTCATGGGACAAATATTATGATATATGTATCCGTCCCGTTAGATAAATATGATATTCATATCCGTCCTATATCCATGTGAATATCTGTTAAGCGGGTAATCTGTGGGTTTTACGGTATCTGCGAATATTTACAGATATCCATGGATAATATTTTTTTTATAAAAATTATTTGTTTAAAAAAATATTTTTAACTTCTTTTAAAGACAAAAAACTTATTATCACATAACATTTCTACAATTTGCTCTTAATTCAACAATAAAATTTCATCACATTAATTTTCTTTTTATTCACTAAAATATAATTAGATTCAAATATAATATTCATATATTTAATTTTTAACAAAACAAATAAAAAATATTGTGATTGTGAATTATGATGGAAGAGCGAACAACAGAGGAGTACGCAGGGAGACACTGGTTCGACGAAAGAATGACGACACTAATTGGTTAGACTGTCAAATTGTTGAAGTGAGATATAAAATATTGAAGAATTTAAATATGACATGAGTATCACATAGTTTCACATTATGTATTCAATTGAATTATCAATGATACTTTTCTATTCCAGTATTTTTCTCACACTCCTAACAAATAGTATCATATAGACTCTCCCATCGGTTGCCCAATTTACTAAGGTGCATGCATTTACTTATCTGCAGTATTTTATTTGTATTTTTCATTTTAAATTGAAGTGGTTGAAAAATCAACTGTGAGACATTATTAAACCTATTTTGTACCCTTTATGAACCTCACATGGACGTACATAGTTTCAAATTTCCAACAATTATTAACTACTGCATCTCTCTTCTGTCAACAAAATTCAAAATAATACTCTTGTCGGTGCTCTTTTGACAATTTAATTAACCAATTTTAGCACTTTAATTAATGATTAGTATACCATACGTTCGACAAATTAGACATAATCATAGGAGACATAGTACTTAGTTTAGCTGTAAACCAACATCTAACAACCCAAAACGCGTTAACTCCACCGAATATAAATCAAATCATCCATTAAAACACAAACCAAATATTACAAATTATTAAAATAAAAATAATAAATTAATAATAATAATTCTTTCAACTTCATTATTTTTTCTGTATATATATTCATATTAACGCTTCAAAGCTAAGTCGGTATCAAAGTTGAACTGTGTCACTCTCCCTAACACAACATAGATCTGGTACAGATCAAATTCCTTCTATTTATAGAAACTTAACAGCAATGTCTCATTTTTAGTTCCTAACTTTCTAATAATAGTCTATCGCTATTTTTCAATTTTTCAGTCAAAACAATGGGAAGCATAAACATAAGCAGAAGCAGAAGCAGAAGCACTAGTTTGATATCTCTATTATGCATTGTTCTTGCATTAGTAGTAAGTGTCTCTTTGGTGCAAGCTGAAGATGATTATAAATTCTACACATGGACAGTGACTTATGGAACTCTTTCTCCTCTTCGTACTCCTCAACAAGTGAGTAACCAAAATGCTTTTTACTGGATCTAGTAACTTTTGAAGAAAATATTCAGATTCTAACTTTTCTTTTTGTGATTATTTTTTAAGGTTATTCTGATTAATGGTCAATTTCCTGGTCCTAGACTTGATTTGGTAACTAATAACAATGTGATTCTCAACCTTGTCAATAAGCTAGATGAGCCATTTTTACTCACATGGTGAGGTTTTATTATAAATGTTTTTTTAATGGTTTTATATTTGTTCACATTAGCTGTTTGTGAAAATTCCTATGAGAACATGATTTAACAATGTTGGGAATATATAAACTAGGAATGGGATTAAACAAAGGAAGAATTCGTGGCAAGATGGAGTTTTGGGAACCAACTGTCCTATTCCTCCAAACTCAAACTATACTTACAAATTTCAAACTAAGGATCAGATTGGAACTTATACTTATTTTCCATCAACTAAAATGCATAAAGCTGCTGGTGGGTTTGGAGGACTCAATGTTTATCGTAGATCTGTTATCCCGATACCTTATCCGAATCCTGATGGAGATTTTACTCTACTCATTGGTGATTGGTACAAAACCAGCCACAAGGTGTTGAGTCAATCTTTAGATTCTGGAAAATCTATTGGCTTTCCTGATGGGCTGCTTATCAATGGTCAAGTTCATTCTACCTTCACTGGTGACCAAGGTAGATTTTTGTGTCCTAAACTGTGCTTAAAGTTCTGATAGATGCATTTCGAATTCCTCTTTGTAAGTGTTTCTTTTATCGACGGTTTTGCACTTTGTTTTTCAGGAAAAACCTATATGTTTAGGATCTCAAATGTTGGTTTGTCAACCTCGATTAACTTTAGAATTCAGGGTCATACGCTAAAACTAGTTGAAGTTGAAGGATCACATACTATCCAAAACATATACGATTCGCTTGATGTTCATGTTGGACAATCTGTTTCTGTGTTGGTGACATTAAATCAACCTCCAAAGGACTATTATGTTGTTGCTTCAACAAGATTTACTCAAACAGTTCTCAGCACAATTTCTGTGCTGCATTATACAAACTCTCATTCCTCAGCATCAGGACCCTTGCCTGCTCCCCCTGCTAACAATTATGACTTGTCTATGAAGCAAGCTAGAACTTACAGATGGAATCTAACAGCAAATGCTGCTAGGCCTAATCCACAAGGGTCATTCCATTATGGTATGATAACTCCAAATAGAATAATAAATTTGGCCAATTCAGCACCATTGATCAATGGAAAGCTTCGTTACGCAGTTAATAGTGTCTCCTATGTTAACCCTGACACCCCTCTTAAACTTGCTGATTACTTCAACATTCCTGGAATCATTGATAATTCAATTCAAATCACTCCCTCTAATGGTCCTGCACATATAGCTACATCCGTGTTGCGAACTTCTCTCCATGATTTTATTGAAGTTGTTTTCCAAAACAATGAAAAAACCATGCAATCTTGGCATCTTGATGGTTATGATTTTTGGGTTGTCGGGTATGTATGTTAAGCCTCGTTGATTTGAATTTTGTTTTGATGGTGTTGAAACAATTTAGAATTTGCCTAATGGTGTTTTTTGATAAATTGATTGCAGTTATGGTTTTGGCCAATGGACAGAGGCTAGTAAAAGTACCTATAATCTAGTGGATGCCCTGACTAGACACACTGCTCAGGTAATACAAATTCTCCGTGTCAACACGTCTGTTTCATGTCCCACGTCTGTTTCATGTCCGGTACTCGTGTCTGTGTCTGTGTTTCGTAGGTCTTATATGTATGATGTGCTTACTTATGAATGCAGGTATATCCGAACTCTTGGACAGCAATATTAGTGTCATTGGATAACCAAGGAATGTGGAATTTGAGATCAGCCATATGGGAAAGACAATATCTTGGACAACAGTTGTATCTAAGGGTGTGGAATGCACAACGCACTGCAGCTAATGAATATGATATTCCTAGTAATGCTTTGCTTTGTGGTAAAGCATTGGGACATCATTCTTAAGAGAGAGTATACATTTTCAACCATTTATTGGAGTTTTATTCTAGTCATGAGAGCTTGACTACAAATAGATTTTTTTTTTATTAAGAGGGATATATAGTATTAGAGGAAGAGTTTAATTTCTCAAATTTATAAAAGTCTTCAAGTATATTTGAAAATATCTTGTATTTGAATCTTCTTTTCCTAATCCCAATTAATTTTTTATTTATTAATTTAGTTCTTTTGTTCAACTAGCCTTATACATCTCAAATAATGGTAAGCTTCTTAGCACAAGCAACTCAGAATAAAGAACAAAGACGTATTAGATATCCTTAGTAGTGGACACCGATACTATATTGACTGATTATTGATTACTTATGTGATTATTTTTATTTTATTTTGTTTTTTAATATCATTACTGATGTTGACATATTGTGTCAGCTGTTTATGTTAGTGCTTCATGTAAGTAGAATTTACTACTATTTATTTGATGACTTATATAAAAATTTGATTCTTCTATTTTCAAATAAATGAAGTTTTAATTTCTCTTGTAAGCTCTTGATTACCAAAGCTACAAAAAGGCCTTAGTAGTAACATTGCAAGAGACAAGTTCTGATTCATATATAATCATGGTTGAGTTCAATTGTTTTTAATTTTTTTGGGCTATTTCATTTCAAAATTAGGGGTACTGTGAAGTTTTAAAACATTGTTATTTCTAATTTTTTTGGGCTATTTCATTTCAAAATTAGCTGTAAATAGACTTTCAAAGTTAAGGAAGGAATCAAAGGAGTGGCGACAAAAAGATACAAGGCAAGATTGGTCGCTATGGGTTTCACTTAGAAAGAAGGTGTCGAATTCAATGATGTGTTCTCTCTTGTTATGAAGCATAAATCCATTAGAATGTTTCTTGCCACGGTGGCACAATTTGACCTTGAACTGGAATAGATGGATGTGAAGACTGCGTTCTTGTATGTTGATCTAGATGAAACAATCCTGATGAGGCAACCTGAAGGGTATGTCAAAAAGGTGAAGAAAGATTATGTGTGCAAGCTGAAGAGATCCTTATATGGACTGAAACAATCTTCTTGACAATGGAATAGGAGATTTGACAAGTTCACAACATGCATAAGTTTCACTAGAAGTTAGTTCGACCATTGTGTTTACTTCAGATTTTGACCTGGTAACTCATTTGTTATTTTGTTGCTTTATGTGGATGATATTCTAATAGCAAGCAACAATGTCGAATATGTAATGAGGGTGAAGGCTGAACTCAATAAGGAGTTCAACATGAAGGATCTGGGAGCTGCGTCCAGGATTCTTGAGATTGACATCCGAAGAGATAGAAAGCAGTCAAATTTATGCTTATCTCAAGAGGCATACCTATGGAAGATTCTCGAAAAGTTTGGTATGTCGAATTCAAATCCTGTTGTGACTCCGACAAACCCTTAATTCAAGCTGAGAATAAATCAGTGTACCAATACTGATGTCGAAAGATCTTATATGAATAACATTCCATATGCTAATATAGTGGGTTCTTTGATATATGCTATGGTCTGTATTAGAATCGACATAGCATATGCAGTAAGTCTTGTAAGCAGGTACATGGCGAATCCTGGAAAGGCTCACTGGCAAGCATTAAAGTGGATTCTAAGGTACATAAATGAGTCTCTAAGCAGAGTCTTAATTTATGGTGGAGCCTTGGTTGAAGATGATAAAGAAACAATCGAAGGATATGTCGACTTAGATTATGCAGGTTGTATGGATTCCAGAAATTCTATTTCTAGATATGTGTTCACTATGTTTGGCACAACAATCAGTTGGAAAGCAACACTCCAGAAGGTTGTTGCCTTATCAACCACTGAAGCGGAATATATCTCCCTAGCTGAAGCTGTGAAGGAACCATTATGACTTGAAGGTTTTGCAAAGGAGCTGAAACTTTAAGATCGGGTTGTCACTGTTAAATGTGATAGTCAAAGTGTAATACACTTGTCGAAGAATTCATCCTATCATGAGCGAACCAAGCACATTAATGTGAGGCTGCATTTCGTCAGAGGGGTAATCAAGCGTGGAGAAGTCCAAGTGCTGAAGGTTTTGACAAAATAATAATGCTGCTGATATGATCACCAAGACGTTGCCCAGTTACAAGTTTTTGCACTATATGCAGTTGATAAAGCTGCATGAAGAAAGCTAGTTTGTTTCTTGATGGTAGCGTTCAATCTAAGGTGGAGATTTGTGAGATATTGGATCAAACTCTAGTTAGCATGTCGTCGAAATTTGCTCACATGCTGTTGTTGAAGACCTACATGCTGTAGTCGAATTGTGTTCTAGTATGTAGTTGTCGAATTGAGCCTTGTGTTAAGGATCCAATTGTTTAAGTTAGCTTGTACCCTAAGTTAGCTTATAATGAGTAATTTTTAAAAAGCCCATTAGTTTAGGTTGTTAGGTTTTATTATAAATAATATACTAGCCTATCATCTTAAGTGTGGTGTGGTGTAATAAAACCTAATTAGGGTGAGATGGTTATTTGTTATTCTTGAGTACTTGTAATCTGTTTTATAGAGAAAGTAAAGAATATCATTTATAACCAATCCTTATTGTTCTTCTTGTTTTTCCTTAACCCTAACCCTTGTGTGTTTCTTGATCATAAAGAAATTGAATATATTTTGTTTTAAGGCATCCTAATTCATAACAATTAGAATTTTGACCCTGCCACGATTTTCATACTTGTCGAAAACACCACTGCCTAGACATCTCTGCTACACCTCACTTCTATTATGCAAAAATATCTCACTACGTTGATGAAATACCTAAACATCAGCAACAAACTTGTTGCACCATGATAAAAAATAACAGCAACAACCCAAACCTCCACAATACTACTACGAATACAACCAACCAACCCAACAAACAGACTTCAACACTTGGCACCACCCAACCAACCTAAGAAAATCCATACATATAGAGTTGTAGCTGGAAGCAATCTTCTTCAATACCTATTCCAATCAATACAATTACCAAAAACTAGCTAGATAAATTAACCTAAAGAATGAAGTCGACGCAAACTCTAAAATGAGACACCTGCTCTACAAGCCGACCAAAACGCCAAAAAGATAATAGAATACCGACGAGACTGCCATGCAAACTGTACTGACAACAAAACCATATGTTGAAACGTGTTAAATAATAAATAATAGCAACTACAAGTCCCCAAAACAAATAGTTTCCAAATCCAAACCCAACAAGTAGAACTTATGACTCTGTGCAGCCTAGGCAGGTCCTAGGATATGCATTTCATTGAGCTATGTTCACTTTCATATTGATTAGTTTTATGGACAGCCACCAACGAGAGTACTGTTAAACTTCCTTGAGTAACTTTTCAGAATCTATCCCCGTATTGAGAAATAATTTGTCGTTCCTAGCTTTCCATATACTCTAGATGCACGCGAACCAAACCACACTGACATTTGTCGCCATTTCCCTTCTTATTCTGATCAACCCTTCAAATTGAGAAAAATGGATAGTTTCTTCTCTGTGTAATAGAGTGTATGTCCTGAACCATTTGCAAACATGTTGTCACAAACCTGCAGAAAACGGGCACTCGAAAAACAGATGAGAAATTGTTTCTTCACACCCACACTCCCTGACACAATTGAGCGAATCACTCCTGATTACACCCTTTTTAAGAAAGTTATCCTTTGTCACTAATCTATTTTGGAACAAACTCCAAACTAGATAAGACACTTTCAAAGGGATAAATTTATTCCAAGCCTTAGACCAAAAGGGATTAGGTTTGTTAGGATCGCAGTCGAGCAGCTCCCTATATGTCTCTTTAACGGAAAAGAAACTTGAACTTTTCCAATCACCTATATCAATACCACGAACATCATTCCACCACTTTGAAACTCTGTTCCTCCCTTTTCCACTAAGGTCATCTAGTCTACCATATATATTTGATAAGGCCTTGTGCAACAACTCGTTCCTTTCCGATTTAATTCACCACTTCCATTTACCTGAGAGCCTTGTTGAAAATTTTCAAATTTTCTAACACCCAACCCCTTCATCTAAAGGCCTACACACATTCTCCCATTGGATCCAATTGATGTTCCTTTCTTTCTCACCCCACCCTATAAAAATTGTTTGAAAATAGAATCAAGTTTAGAAATAATACATGTCGACGCCTTGAAGAATTAGAGAAAGTATATCGGAAGCTCAGTGAGGACTGATTTTAGTATCACCACTCTTCCATAAAATGAAAGGAATTGATTTCTCTATCTAGAGAGTCTTGATTTAACCACTTCTAACACATGATACCATATCTCTATTCTCTTGAAATTGACTCTAATAGGAATACTGAGGTATTTGAATGAAATAAATCCCGTTTGACAGTTCATTATCTTCGACACTTCTTCAAGCCACCTTTGTTGAATGTTTATCCTTACTAGCTTGCTCTTATTGAAGTTCACCTTAAGTCTATAAATTACTTCGAAAAGAAAAATATTTTCCTTTATTATTCAAATATTTGACCAAATTTTCCCCCTAATATCAAAGTGCCATCCACATATTATAAATGAGTGAGCCATTCTTCTCCTTTTTCGAATTTGTACCCACTGAATTTATCGCTATCCATCGCTTTTTTCATTAGCATGTTAAATCCTTCAGCAACTATAAGAAAAAGAAATGGTGAAATATGGTCTCTTTGTCTTAATCCTCACTCCATTCTCACTTCCTTGTTTTAAGGAATTCTGCTATCCACCTCCTCTAGTTTTTGTGAAACCCCATCTTTGACATCACATAATCAAGGAAGTTCCAAACAACCGAGTCATAAGCTTTCTCGAAGTTCACTTTAAATATTAACATTTTTTCCTTCTTCTAGCCTCATCTACAATTTCATTAGCAATCAATATCCCATCCAGAATGTGTCTACCTGCTATGAAGGCCGACTGTTGCTCTGATATAACCAGACCTATCACTTTTTTTAATTCTGTTGGTAAGGACTTTAGAAATCACCTTATAGATACACGCTA